TGCTCTTTGCTGCGCGGGTTAACAGCCCCCAGCCTATACCCCGCCCCTCGCCCCCGGCCTTTCTCTGTCTCCCGGCCCACGCAGCATCCCCCCGCTCCGGGGTCCCACGGACCCTTCTGTCCTGCCCCCGCACGCCACGCACCCTCTGTGCGCTGGCTCCGGCAAGGACCAGAGTGTCCCAGGGATCAGGATTTAGGGCAGGGACCTTCGCCAAGGGCATCGTGGTGGGTACCCCCCCACTACGGGTGTCACCCCCTGGGTGACAAGGCACAAGTATCGCTGGGAACTTCCTTGGGGTTTGCTTTCTGCTGGGGCTTCTGCGGTGGCTAGTAAAGGGGTGGGCTCCCGTGTCAGCCTTTCCCCGGGACCGTGGGAGTGCCGGTGGCCGGCCTTTTTGTGGAGGGAACAAATACCGGCGATGCCTGCGCCTCCGGGAAACGTGGCAGGATTGGGCAATGGGTTCAAGTGCTGCTGGGGGAAGGGACTCTCCCACGCACACGGGAGGGAGTGAGCATCTTTTCCATAGGGAAGCAGGCTAAATATACCAGTGTGCCTGCCTGTCCCCCGGGGGGCTGGGCACCCACCCAGCCAGAGCCTTTTTGCTGCACCCGTGCCTGAGCCACACTGGTATTCCCCATCAGTGTAAAAGCTTTCATCCTCCCTTGGCTTTCATCCTCCCCTCGGCTTTCATCCTCCCTCCATGTCGGCTTCCAGGCTGCCCTCTGACCAGAGGGGAAAGGTCTGTGGTCCTTGGGCTGCTCAGAGGAGGAGGAAGCAGGAGTGGTGTTTGCCCTGCCCAGGTGCAGCTAGGGTCAGCCCGTGCTCTGCAAGGCCTGACTTTGGGTTGTTAACCTTGGCTCAGGAAAGCTTTTTCTTTCTCTGACCTGGCTCTTCTTGTGGCCAGAGAAGAAATGGGGACATCTTACACCCAGGTCAGCATCCTGGGAATGCCCACAACCCAGCACTGAGCTCTCCCCATCTCCCCATCCCCATGAACAGGAACCAAAATCCCACTCCTAGCAGCAGAGACCAGCAAGCCCCATGTTAGGAGGAGAAGCTGGCCTGGGAGTGGGCAGGGGGAGAAGATGGCAAATTCCCGATCTCGCCTCCTGATCTGAGGAGGATGTTTTATCCCCAGGGCAAAATGTCTTGAAAGGAGAAGGTGCCTACATGTTCCTTTTGTGCTGGGGAGGGAAATAAGACTGTATCCCCCCCAGGGGGATGCTCTGCCCCCTCTGCCTGCCCCTAGAGAGCGTGAGGAGGATTGTGAGGGTCCCTGTGTGGCTGTTCTTGGTACAAGGTCGGTGCGGTGTACCCATCACTGCACCTGGAGACATACAGAAAGCAGCTGGACCTTGGTCTTCTCTCACGCTAACCTTGCCTTGCTGGAGAGGGGGTTTCTTGGGGTGCAGCAAGGCAAGTCAGGCTGGCCTGAAGCAGCAGCAAAGCGATGGCCAACTCTTTCCAGCAAATTATATGGAAAGCAAGGAGCATTTTCCCACCCTGTGCTCTCAGGGTAGCTCCCCTGACAGCCACAGTTGCCTGAGAGAGAAAAAAAATGGGGCACCTCCCCATAAGGAATTCCCAGCCTTCCTCCTCCTGCGTCTTCTCCCTGCCAAGGCCAGATGCTTTAGCAGTGCGTGCAGAAAAGTCCGTTGTAGGCAGTTTTTGAAATAACTTGCCTAGAAAGGAAGTTTCTGCAATTCAGAGCTGGCTTTTGCCCCAATCCAGGCACACTGCTGCTATTTTTTACTTAAATCCATCTTGAGGAGCTTGGGGAGGGGATGGGATGGGATGTTGGTGGTGTTGGTGTTTGGTCTGTGCGAATCTTTGCTCCTTTTTTTTTTGTGTCCCCTGGACTGAGAAGCGTCACATGCCAAAATGCTGTCTGGAGCTTTCCCAGGCTCCTTCCTCAGATGCTTTTCTTGCTGTGTCTGCTGTGGGACTGGAGAGAGGGGACTCAAGAGACTGGCAGGTCACCCGTGGGTGGGTGGGTGACTCTGAGGGTACCGGATGCTGGGGACCGAGTACTGTGCTTAGAAATGCTCCTGTGGGACCATGTGGAATCCTGTCACATCTTGCTAGTGCTGGGGTCAGGGTGTGTTTGTGAATGAGTCCATGGGCGTCCGCAGCTCCCAGGCTGCTTGTGCCCCTCCTCAATGGGTTTCTCTCCCTCTCTCCCTGTCGCCGCCTTATTGCCTTTCCTGCCAAAATATTTGTGTCCTGTGCAGGGGAAATCCAGTGGCTTTCGGTGGCCAGTATCACACAGACAGGAATGTCTTGGCACATGGGGCTTTCCGTTAGGAAAACAGATGTTTCTGCAGCAACTGAAGTTTTGTAAAGAGCTTCCCCAGGCTTGGAGGCACTGGAGCTGTTGAGACAAGTGTTGTGATCAGCATTGCCTGTCCCCCATGATGTCTTCCCCTGTTTTGGGAGTGATTTGGGTCTCAGCTCCAAATCCTGCTGTGTTATCCTGTCACCAGGCTTGGGTCAGACTCTAGAAGGGGGGAAGTAAATGCATGAAGGGACCTGGCCAAAACAGCACAGGGAGGTGCTGACAGTCCAGCCGGACCCTTGCCATGAACAGTGCCACTGTCTGATCTTCCTGCTCTGCCAGCAGCCTCCCAGGACCTGGGGGATGCTCTGGGCTCAGACCTGCACCCAGTGCCTCCAGCTACTTGCTTACACCTGTCCTCATAGAAGACAGTGACATAAGTGATCTGGATTTATTTCTCTTAGGGGGTTGGTGGCCAGTGGGTGCCATAAATCTCTGGTCTTTGTGGTCGTGTCCCCAGGTCTTGTACAGCGTCCCTTCAGGGAAGTTCCCTGCAGGGTGTTCCCCCATGCTGTGCAGTGCTCAAGGAGCTCAGGAGACCCACAGCCACTGCGGGGACACCTCGGCCAGGGTGGGCTGGGACTTGGGGCCCTTGGCCACCAGGGTCACCTAGGTCCCCTCAAAACCCCTGTGCTCTCTGTCTCCCTGCCAGGCGTATTTACGAGCGGTCGATGTGAAGATCCTGCAGCAGCTGGTAGTGGTGAACGAGGGCATCGAGGCGGTGAAGTGGCTGCTGGAGGAGAGGAGCACACTGACCAGCCGCTGAAGGCCAGCAGCCAGTACAGCCTGGTGGAGAGCCAGGAGGCCTCACGGCGGGGCAGCTGGGACAGCCTGCAGGACCCCAACGACAGGCTGGACAGTATCTCTGTTGGTAGCTACCTGGACACGTTGGCTGACGACATGGATGAGTATTCCCAAAACGCCGCTGAAACCACTGCTGCGTCGGTGCCGGGCAGAGCCCTGGTCAGGGCGGAGCAGGATTGGGTCAGGATCGACCCTGAGAGGGGCCTTGCAAAGCAAGAGAAGGGCAAAGCTGAGCACGAGTGGCCCCACGTGGACCTCTCCCCGCCTGGGCTGACTCAGGATCACCGCTTTGCTAAGGAGCCCCCAGTGGCCAACGGGTATTTGGGCCAGCAACCTTCGTCTCTGGAGCCAGGCAGAGACCCCAAATTGCCATCAGGGGCTGGGGAGAGGCTGGGGAAGGGGAGCTTGGGTGGGAAGGCTCGGAAAGCAGAGGCTGACTTTGAGAACTGCAAACTCAACAGCAAACTGCACCTGGAGTATGATGCCCACTGGCGCTGGCTCCAGTCTCAGGACGATGTGACGTTCTTATAGCCCGTGTCTTTGCCTTCCCAGTCCAGTTCTCCCAACTGCCTGCTCTGCTTCACTTATCTCCGCTTGGGAGAGTTGAGGTGGCTGGAGAAGAGGGGACAGGCTGGCTTGGTGGTGTTGCACTGTTCCTGTGACCTCCCAGTGTTTGGTGATGCAGCCCTAAGGGGAGGTGGTGCTTGTGCTGTGGCAAATTTCTGGGAGAGGTGGGATAAGGTGGGTCCCTATAAATTTAATCCTTTGCTTGGGAGTAGTGCTTGCAGGTGGCTGGTCACTCCTCTGTTGTCCTTGATCTTGGTGGCAGGGAAGGGTTGGTGGGGAAAACTGGGACAATGGGAGTCCTGGGATCTCTCCCCTCTAATCCTCAGCCTCCTGTCTGCAGAATCTGGGGATGCTTCCCCCAGACTGGCTACCCAGAGAGGACAAGAGATGCTCCCACACATTCACAGCTCAGTGGCACCAGCATGCTCAGTGCAAGGAGTGGGACAGGACCATCAGCAGGGCATCCCTCTTGGGTGCGCTCGTTTCCATCATCATCTTCAAGGCTAGTGTCCATACAGGGTAGAGTTACCCTGGGGCACCTGGAGTTTGGCTGCAGCACAGGGTGGATGCTAAGCCCCCCTTCCCAGCAGGTGAACCCCATGTGGTTTAAAAGCCTCTGTGAAGCTGGTCTGAAGCATGATCAGGGTGGTCATTGTAGCTGCTCCGGTTGTGCTGGGGAGCCTTTGGCTGTGCCCTGTGGAGGGAGGATGACAGTGCAGGCTTCCCTTCCCGATGTGATTGCATGAGGAAGGCAAAACACTGGCTGGGAGATGGCGATCCGGTTCTCCCAGTTTGTTTCTGGACTGTCTTCCACCTCAGGACCAGGTCCTGCAGAAACCCCAGGATGTGCCAGCGTCCAGGCATCCTGGCAGAGCCTGTGGGGCTCAGGCTCGGAGAGGCTCGTGCCGTCCCCTGACGCAGTGTCATGGGGGTGCTGGCTGGGATTCTCCATCTGTGCGATGAATGGCACCAGGTCTCTGCCCCCTACCAGCAACCAGAAACATGAGGCTCCTCTGCTGGGGTGGATTTGCAGTGACCCTGCCCTGGAGACATCTTGTCTGTCCTTTTAGCCTTGGCTTCTGCCTGTGCCTTTTACTGTCCTCCCACCATGCTTCCTGGCACACCCTTCGCTGGCTTCTAGAGCATGGCTTGCAGCTGGAGCTGTGGGAGAGCTTGGGCAGGACCTGCTGCCTTCACCAGACAATGTGGGGAAGGATCTGAGCATCCTACCGCCCCCTGCTTCAACAGAGTGGCTCTTCCACACACATGGACAAGCTTGAAGGGTCCTGGCATCACAACCCATGGTGCATCTGTTCCTGGCTGAGTGCTGTGACAGCTTTGCTTTCACCACGGTGCTGTCGTTCCCCTGGCCCTTTCCTTGCTGGGATGGTGGGAGTGGGGACGATGTCTTCTGATGTCAGTGGAAAGTCAAGAGAGAAAGAAGACCTGGCTGTGACTCTTCTAGATGTAAGGTGAGCTGGCTGTGGTTAGGAAGGTGGTTTGGTGCACAACAGGTTCAGCTTTGTGTCTGAAGCAGCACCTTCAGTGGAAACTACCCTCCATGCCAAGACCCTCGAGCACCCTCCCTTCCCCTGAAGATCCTCAGAGCTTCCCTGGATGGACACGGAGAGCAGGACAACATCCAAAATTCACGGAGACAGCATCTGCCAAGGATGTGGAGGAACCCCGGCACCCTGGGACTGGCTTGTCCTACGCATGTATCCCACCTGCTGGCCCCAGAGCAGCCGTGCTTGGCTTGCCATCGCCTGTGAGCAGCTTGTGGCTCCCTGTGTAGCTCTGCTGCTGCTGCTGTGCCAACATGTCCCCCAAGGCTGGCTTGTCCCCCGCTTTCCTTCCCTCCCTGCATGTGATGAGTCAGCTGAGGGTCCCTGGGGGAGACAGGGTAAGTCCTCCAGTGCTGTTAAAATCATTCTCAGCAGAAAATAGCTGGCTTAATAAATGGTAGTATTTCTCCCAGGCCACACTGTTGGTGCTTTGCAGAGCTTATGGGTTTCTAGGGGAAGGGGAGAGGCTCCGGGGCGGAAATCGCCGGCGCGCACATGCCCCGGAGCCACTGGCAGCTCTGCAGGCAGGGCAGGTTTAGACCCAGGCCTGAAACAGGCAGAGACCACATGTCTGGGGACCTGTCCCTTCTCACATCAGGGTGGTGACATATAAAAGTCAAGCTTCCTGAAGCAGCAGCTTCCTGAAGCAGACAGGTACCAGAGCTTGTCTGCCGGGAGTGCGGGTGCTGGTGAGACTGGATCTCTGGGAGATGGGGTGGATTAAGCTCGGATGAACTATGTCTCCAACTGCAAACAGCAGCTTCACTCTTCCTGCCCCAGATTTCCAAGGAAGAACTCTCTAGGTGTTTGCCAGCCCTGTTAACCATGCTGGGGTGTCCATTTGCTTCCCTTGTTCTGCAGCCACAGCCTTGGCTCTTGTGGCTTCCTCCACCCAGGATGTACGAGAGGGGTCTGGGTGTAGGACAGCAATTTCTCCAGTCCAGCCTGGGGTGGGAGCAGCCACAGGTCTGATTTCAGGCTGTTGGGATTTGCTCCTGGGTGGGTCCCTTTAAAACCACTGAAGCCAGTGCTCATGCAAACATCAGCCTTTCCAAAGCAAACGCAAGTGGCTTATCCAGCCCTGCCATCCTGTCCTGGCTTTGAAACCATGAGATTTTGCAGATGGAGAGGTGGATGCTGGAGCCAGCAGGACTCGGCAGGATTTCCCCATTTTTCTGTGAGGCTGAGGTTAAAAAAAAAAAATAATTAAGAAAACCTTAGAAACAAAATGACCAACCCATTCCTCTCCCAGATCTAGACCCTGGTGGTCAGACAGCTCTGTACTGCTGCAGATGAGCCTTTGCTGGGGCTCCCCTGGGTTTGGACTCTTCAGCTGAGCTTACAGAAGCCTAAATTGCCCATAGCCCTAGAATCTGAGTACCCCCCAAATCCCAGCCCTTGGAGCTAGAGGGGTGGATGAGACCTCACAGTCTTCCTGCCATCCCTTGCCCTGTCTCTGGACTGCCTGGACGAAGGGTCACCCACCTCCAGGCTTTGCCCAGGCACATGCAGAGCATATGTGTCCCAAACCCACTCTGGGGAAACACCCTGGGGACCTCGGTCTTGCTGAAAGGTGAGTGCAGAGCATCCATGGGTGGGAGACAGCCCATAGCACAGATCTGCAGCCTGTCCTTGCCACTGCCTGGGGAGGAGTGGTCTGCCTGCCCTGCTGCCCTTGGGCTGCTCTTGGGCTGATCAGTGCTGGTATCAGGTAAGAAAACAAGCAGATAAAGCAGGCAGGTTCCTAGCTGCTGCCAGAAAACACCCACCTCCGTTACAATAAAAACACCAGCAAGCCAAGTTTTTTTTTTTTTTTTTTAAATATATACACACAGAGATTAGACTGTCTTAACGAGGCAGTAAAACACTTTCATAGCTCTCCTTGCTAGTTATTAAAAAGTCCCCTGGGCTTTCCCCTCCCTGCATGCAGCTCAGCTCCAAAAGGGCCTGTCCCCTGAGCACTGCAGCTGTTTAAGCAATTTATGTTAGTTCCTGTGGGGAGGCAACGACCATGGAAATAACCTTTTCCCAGAGTGGGGAAGAAGCTGGTCCCCATGGTAGGCCGGGAGGTGCCATCCATCCCCTCTGCCAACCACCATGGCCTTTGGCCTTGGCAGCCCCATGGCCCCCCGCAACCCCCTGGGTTTGTGGGGTGTCCCAGGCAGTGGGTGCAGCCTGTGAAGTGGGACCCTGGGATGGGGGATGCTCCCTGTCACCCCTTGTGCTGGTCCCTGTGTGTTGCTCAGGGGTCAGGTGCTGGGAGGCAGACTCTGTGTATTAAGGCTGCTTGGGGCTGCTCTAAAATGGGAGGTGTGTGCAAGCACTGGCTTGTCTCAGACCTCCTTTCCACAGCCCTGCCTCTGGCACCCACTGCTTTGAGATGAAAAGATAAGAAGAGGTCCAGATGAAGCAAGTCTAACCCAGGGCTGTTGGTGTCCTGCCCACCAGTTCCCTCAAGCTGAACATGGGCTGCTTTGCAGGGTGACCTGCTTGAAAATCAAACCTCTCGAGGGAAAGTTTTCAGCCAGAGCAGCATGATGAAGTGACCCAGTGACACCAGTGGCATAGCTCCTGGGGGAATGGTGGATCCATGCACCCCATGGTTCTGCCAGCAGAGCCCTGGGCTTGTGCTGCCTGACAGGTTGCAGGCAGCGTGGGGCAAGAGAGGCCAACAAACAGGGCAGGAAGGGCTGGTCATGGCCCCAGGCCCTGCTCTCAGCCTGCCCTGTTTTGCCGGTGGGGATGGTCTCTTGGGCAAGGCTGAAGTGTTGGTGCCAGTCAGTTGGTGTGCAGGGTTGATCCCCAGGGAGAGCCCTGTGTTGTCAAAACCACCTCCAGTTCAGGATGGCATCCAGTCCTGGTCCTGGGGGACCTGACACCCAGCCCGGCCCCATCATCCAGCTCTCCTCTGGGCAGCACCTCTCAGCTAGCCTGATCCCAATGCTCTGCCCAGGACCCCACTGTACTGAGTTAAACCAGCCCATCAGAGAGTTCCTGTGTCCTGGATTTCCAGCTGGTTTCCAGCTTTTCCTTCCCACTGCTCCAGGGTTATGGGTCTCCAAAGGCAGAAAACTCCTACAAATTTTGTGCAGAGGCAGCAGAGAAGGGAGAGGTGTCCTCCAGTGCCTGCCTTCCAAAGAAAGGGATTGCAGTGTGTGCTCAACCTCTCTTACACACTGGAGAAACCACACTGGGCAAGGGGTGCTCCACCTGCCCAGGGCAGCTCAGGCACCAAGCGGAGTATCATGGTCACCTCCTGTCCCCTCCCTGCCTGTGAGATCTGCCCCGAGCTCCCTGCTCAGTCTGCTCATGGTGTCAGTGGCTGAGTGACCAGGAGGCTGGTGATCACAGGAGGACAAATCAGGAACATGAGCCAGGAGCAAGCTGAGCCTTTGGGGA